ACTAAGCGTATTATTTATTAACCTATAATCAGAAAGGGCTCATCACATACAGTTGCCCATCAATTTTTTTCCATGGTTAAATTATATATAAATATACAGTCATGTGAAAAAGTTAAGACATTGAATTCCATGGTTTTCTGTATCAGGGCATCATAAAAAATGATCTGGTCCTTGGCCGGTCTTAAAATAAAAAATAAAAAAACCCTCAGATGAACAACATCACATGACATATCACACTGTGTCATTATTTATTTAAAAATAAAGCCAAGATGGAAAAGCCATGTGTGACAAAGTTAGGACACCCTATGATTCAACTGCCTGTAGATCCACTTTTAGCAGCAATAACTTGAAGTAATCATTTTCTGTATGACTTTCAGTCTCTCACATCGTTCTGGAGGAATTTTGGCTCACTATTCTTTACAACGTTGCTCAGGTTTATTGAGGTTTGTGGGCATTTGTTTGTGCACAGCTTTCCCCAGCATTTCAGTCAGGATGAGGTCTGGACTTTGACTGGACTGCTGCAACCCCTTGATTCTTTTCTTTTCAGCCGTTCTGTTGTAGATTTGCTGGTGTGCTTGGGATCATTGTCCTGTTGCATGACCCAATTTTGGCCCAACTTTAGCTGTCGGACGGATGGAGTTCATGGTTGATTCAATGACTGTGAGGTGCCCAGGTCCTGTGGCTACAAGACAAGCCCAAAATCATCAGCCCTCCACCAGCATGCTTGACTTTTGGCATGAGGTGTGTGTGCTGATATGCCCTTTAGGTTTTCACTAAACATGGCACTGTGCATTATGGCCAAACATCTTCACTTTGGTCTCATCTGTTCAAAGGACATTGTTCTAGAAGTCTTATGGTTTGTTCAGAAGCAACTTTGCAAACCTAAACCGTGCTGCCATGTTTCTTTAGAGAGAAGAGGCTTTCTTATGGCAAGCCTTCCAAATATGCCATACACTTGTCCCATATTTTTCTAATTGAACTGTCATGAACTTTATCATTTAACATGTTAACTGAGGCCTGTAGAGTCTGCGGTGAAATTATTGGGTTGTCTGCCATTTCTCTGAGCATTACACGGTCTGTTCTTGGGGTGAATTTCCTGGGACACCCACTTCTGGGAGGATTGGTGTCTGTTTGTCTTCCACTTGCGAATAAACTTCCTCACTGTAGAATGATGGACTTCAAATTGTTTGGAAATGGCCATTTTACTCTTCTCAGATTGATGGCAGAAACAATTGCTTGATCATTGCTGATATCTTTCCTTCTTGGCATTGTGTTAACACACACCTGAAGGCTCCAGACCAGCAAACTGCCAAAACTTCTGCTTTTATAGAGCTGCTCACACTTGCCGATGATCTGTTAATTAATGATTAACAGTGCCTGACCGTTAGTTTGCTCACACTTGCTGATGATCAGTAAATCAAAGGTATTTGATCTCTTAAGTCATATGTTAACAGTATGGGTGTCCTAACTTTGTCACACATGGCTTTTCCATCTTGGGTTTGTTTTTGTTAAATAAACAATGGCACGGTGCAATATGTCATGTGTTGTTGTTGTTGTTCATCTGAGGTTTTATTTTCCTAAATTTAAGACCTGCCAACGACTAGATTTTTTTTGTGTGCCCTGATACAGAAAACTATGGAATTCAATAGGGTGTCCTAACTTTTTCACATGACTGTATATGAAAACCTGATGTTTTTTTTATAGTACAGATTTTTTTCCCCTAAAATGTCCAGGTTGTAAAAACAAACAAACTTTGCTTAATAATCGCTGCACAAATTAAAAGAAACAAATTTAAAGATACATTCACCCAAACAACAACATCAAGAATGTTCCTTGTTTCTCTTATTTCGTGTAGCCATATTTAATAAAGATTGTTTGAATTATATCCCCTGTTTAACCGCTATAGAGACATCAGAGCCAGCGGCAAATAGCTGGCCGAGGCATCTCAAAATTTTCCAGCACTGAAACTGGTCGTCACAGCAGCTGATAATTGCTTCAAGCGGGCGGACATGCTCTTGGCTGCACTTTTTTTGTGAAATTTGATTGATTGGAGCCAAAAAGCCCCAGGTGGAAGTTGTCATTTGAAGCTGGCCAGAGGACAGACTCCTCTATTTAGTTCAGCTGGTGTCAGAAGAGCTGCCCAGGACGACATCCATCAGCAATAGGGCCAAACATCTGTTAGCATGCCTTCTCCATCACTCATCTCTTTCCCAACAGTTCCAGACTTCCTGTAGATATGCATGGCCATCAGGAACTCCCAAGACCGGCACGAAACACTCTCCGCACAGCTGCTCCTCATGTAAATGTAGAATGAATGTGAAATCGAGTGTATTCAGAGTCTCTGTGGCCAAGATTCCTGCTGAGATCACAGTCAGAGATAATCTGGACACTCAGAGCAGCTGAGATGAAGACAGATCTGCATACTTCCAGCTTTAGTCAGAATTAGGAATAGTTTTTCATCGATTTGTACTGATGTATGAGGAGAGCTTTAAGGTGTTGGGAGTGTGTCTCAGTGTCTAAGCATCTGACAATCACTGTCTCCCCCTGTCTGTTTTGTTGTCTTTGTCTCCCTGTCTTTGTTCTGTGCCCACATTTATTATTTTTGGAAGTAATTTAGAAGTTCTCCAGAGTTTATCAAATCATGTTACAAAAGGGAACTCTGAGGAATTTGTCTGTACAAAGTCTACAAAGATCTGAATGCATTTCTGTCCTTTTTGACCCTTGTATACATTTATTTTTTCTTATCCGCTAATGCAGCTATTTCCAGAACATTCTGTACAAGTAAAATGTTGCTTTTCATATGTGTGGCATCTGCTTATTTTCCAATCAGGAGCACTTTTTTGTCCTGGAATAGGAATATCATCATCAAACATTGTGGATTTTGGTGTAGTGTGATTCATGGTGTGGACTTTTAGTATTCTGTTTGGAATTGGTATTTGGTATTGAAGGGAAAATATTAATGTTATTAATATTGTAGATATTGAATATTATAGATTTAAAATTAAATGATTAAATACTGATTTGTTAATAGCAGATTTTAATGTCAACATGACATGAAAATTCACCTATTTTTGTTAAATGTTATTGATTTTATTGTGAACATTTTCATGTGTTTTTTTTTTAATCTTATAATATTTACTGTATTTTCAAGTCTGGTCACGTTGCACTGGTGTATCAGTCACAGTTTAAGTTCAGAAATAATGTGAAATACCGATAAATTAAAACTAAGCATTTAAAAACATTACAAATGCCATAAGCATATATTGTAGTTCTCCTCACTCCACAACAAATCCTATACAGGAAATCCTATACACAAGAAATTAGTGCCGTTCATTATAAATAACATTAATTATAAATGCCAAGCCTTAACATTTAATTAAAGTGAAGCTGAAACTACTGGCTTATGTGAAATGTGCTATGCAAATAAACTTGGGCTCATGTACCTCTCTCATTCGGCACAAATCCAAATATGTGAGCTTTGCGCATGATTTGCATGCTTGATGTTAATTGCATTATATAAGTCAAGCACATTTCAGATGATAAAAATGCTACTTGTATTCTGGAAAATTTGGTCATCAACATTTCATAATTTTCCACTGAAATTAGACTTCTCTCTGGTGACGTATGCCAGACTTCTCCAATCATTTATTCCACTTAAACCCTGCCCCTTCCTTACAGACTCATCTGCCTTAATCCAATCAACAACCAACGGATAAAACCAAGTCCCCACCCTAAATTGTTTTTCAGTAATCTGTTTCTCTCGGATGTACGTCACAATACAGAAGAAAAGATCAGCCGCTACTTCTGTTTCATCACGACTTTAAATGACAATTCCTGATGTTCAAACTATCACTCTGTTCTGACATGAGTTTCAATGTTCTCATATAGATATAAATATTAGGATTTTTTTTTAATTATTAAAAAAAATAAAAATCCAAGGGTGGCTGCTTTTCTGGCCTTTGGACTGTGCTCGCACACATACACAAAGTTGCTCAACCCCAAACATCTCTAAGCAGCTGCAGGTGCCTCAGCATGGGGTATGAGACAGTGGGAAGATCCTGGGATTTTTCAAACATCTGTTGAGCACACACACACACACACACACACACATTAAAGGGTTAGTTCACCCAAAAATTAAAATTAGGCTGCGTTTTACTCACCCCCAAGGCATCCTAAGTGTATATGACTTTCTTCTTTCAGACGAATCCAGTCGGAGTTATATTAAAAATTGTCTTTGATCTTTCAAGTTGTTTAATGCCACTCAGCGGGTGTTGCATTGCTTCAGTCCAAAAGAACTTAAATAAAAATTGCCCATCCATAAAAAAAAGTGCCTCACACGGCTCCGTGGGATGAACAAAGGCCTTCTGTAGCGAATCGATGCGTTTTTCTAAGAAAAATATCCATATTCAAAACGTAATAATCACTTGCGCTCACTGTTGTAAACAGAAGCAGTTCTGGGGGAATGACGTATGAGGTCGGCTTTATTAAACGGCTTGAAAGATCAAAGACAGTTTTTAATATAACTCCGACTGGATTTGTCTGAAAGAAGAAAGTCATATACTGCTAGGATGCCTCGGGGGTGAGTAAAACACAGCCTAATTTTCATTTTTGGGTGAACTAACCCTTTAAGGTTTGATACGGCTGACACTGCAGACTGCATTATTCTGACACTCTGAAACTGATGTGCTGTGTTTTGTGTGTTCTGTAGGAGATCTCTTCCGTGGATTTCCGCAGTAATTCCGTGTCCAGTCGGACTCCAACTCCACCTGGACGATACTCCCCACACAGCCCCATCGAACGAGAGGTGCCCATTTCACCTAGACGCAGGTACTTATATATATATACACATATTTGCATTGAGCAGAAGCTGCTTCTGCTGTCAGATCACTCAGAAGAACTAACTTTTTTTAATCAATTGACAATCTAAATAAATGTCTAATAAATTAATTTGCATATGCTAACAAATGACATACAGTATTTATTATTTTAAGGAAAGCGCCAAAATGGAAATAATTTCTGTTATTTGACATTTGATTTTACTTTATTGTTGCAGACGAGTAAATAGTTGAATAGACATTACAAAAAGTGACTTTAGAGAACAGACAGACATAAGAAAGTTAAGTCTGGTGACATGATTAATTGCTTGTTTTTTGTTGCATTTTTAAATCATTAGTAGCACTAAATTAGTGCATTTCAAGTAACAGCCCTGCAGTTTATTTTTAGCTTCCGCTGATAGATTTTTACATGAACATTTCTGTACAACTGTGAGATTCTGCAGTGTGATGTCATTTTGATTCTGTTCTTTGAACACTTCTCAGAACAGATTTATTTTGGCTCTTTATGTCAGATGTCTAAATGAGTCACAACATGGCTGGTGTCCCAACAATGCTTTTTTTCACTTTTCTTTTCCACTTTGTCTTGCTTTCTAGAAAAAGGATTATATCATTTCTGCCCCTAATTTCTGCAACCTTCTCCCTCTTCTGCACACCCATGATCCCACCTCCGTTTTGCTCAACCAATAAGAAAATGTCAAAAACGAGTAGACACACCCCTTTTCTACTCTCAACCAATACGAGGCAGCCTGAACTCACACCTTTCAGACAGAAACTCTCAACTTTCTTATGTCTCGTCAAGACTCGACAAAGAGGGTGTGTGTGTGTTTGCTGTAGATTTGGATGTGTGTGTGTGTGTGCAGTTGTCACCGTAGGCTGTGTTCTTGTTCCAACAAGAGTTGAACTAGTTGGATAGGAATTTATCTTTGTTTGCCCTTGAGGTAAGTCCAAACTACTCCGGCATCTTCCTCGAACTTACAAAGCAATGACAGGCTAGTTTGCAGGGGGAGAAGAAATATTGTAATGTGAGCCTAGCGCTGCGCTCTGTTCTCAGTGCTGTAATGTAATGATGCTGTGTCGACTGTTTTCCCTGCTCCATCTGAAGCCTTTTTAGCATGTTTGTAATCATAGCTCAGCTGTGGGGGGTTAAAGATGGATGGAAAGTTCTTTTTTTTTAAAGCATGTTTTGATACTTTATATCGTCTTAGCCACAATAATCTGTACATTTACAGTATTCCGATAAACATGCATCTCCACTGCAGCAGGAGGGGAACAACCGGATCCTTTGAGAAGGGGCCCACTTTGCTCCTCTATGGTATAACCTACTCTTTGGTATCAGTGGAGGCTGTGCACCCATAAAAATTTTGTTTTAGGTCCTGTGAATTGAGGTGACAACCCTGTGGGGGAACTGAGAGGTGCTGGGAGAGTTTTCAGGGGAAACTCAAACTCGCTGTCTGGTTTCAATTTGAAGCATGTCTCATTTAACAGTCTGCATGCAGATAGTGAACATGCCATTTATTTGGAGATTTATAGTGTCTTAAATGCTTCTTTTTTTTCCAGTAATGGCTATTCCAAATGCTTCGTACTTTTCATTTTCTATCTTGGACACGTTACAGGAATGCACTTTTTGTCCTGCACACACTCAAACAGTCATGTCAGCTATGACATGCTTGCTGTCATGTGAGTTTCTGGTGACAACCACACCCAGAAACTCAGTAAAACCCTCAATCTCTGATGGTGTCATTTTCCACCTCTGTTTCATGTTGCAGTAATAAGCAATCACTTCTTGTCAGGTCGAGAGTTCTGTTTGATAGTTTTGGCTATTGGTTAATCATTTCTCAGCCCATGTCATGGCCTTTGTACACAGCAGAAATCCTGATAGCATTTGTTTTGACAACAAACTGCACCAGCAAACTATCACAAGGCCACTGCGGCAAAAAAAGGATCTGCATTCCTCATGACCAGCAGTTAAATTGGGTCAGAACAATCCAGAGCAGCAATAGCTGACGCCTTCAATTCAGAATAAAATAATATTGTTGGTTGGTTTGTTTGTCAGTCCTAAACAAGTGCGCTCACTCAAGAAGAAAAAGCTTCACCTCACCCTGCTCTACATTTAATATGTCATGCAGTGCAATCAAACGTGGCCCATTTATGTTATACATCCACTGATGTGCAGTAAGAGTCTTTCTTTGTTTATTAAACGTTACAAGAGCAGGCTTTGAGCTAGGGGACCACTCGTATCAAGAATCGTATGAACAAATCCTGTGTCAACAAATCCTATGTGCATTACTGTTCAGAAGTTTGGGGTCAGTAAGTTTTTAATTAAAAAAAAAAGTATCTTATTCTCACCAAGGCTGCATTTCTTTGATCAAAAATACAGTAAAACAGTAATATTGTGAAATGTTATTACAATTTTAAATAATTGTTTAAATTTGAATATATTTTAAAATGTAATTTATTCCTGTGATTCAAAGCTGAATTTTCAGCATCGTTACTCCAGTCTTCAGTGTCACATGATCCTTCAGAAATATTTCTAATATGCTGATTTGCTGCTCAAGAAACATTTCAGATTATTATCAAAGGTGTGCTGCTTCGTATTTTTGTGGAAATCATTTTTTCAGGGTTCTTTTGATGAATAGAAAGTTTAAAAGAACAGCATTTTGTAACAAATGACCAGTGGTGAAAAGAGTACTGAAAAAATATACTCAAGTAAAAGTACCATTACCTTCCAAAAAATGTAGTGTGAGTAGAGTAAAAGTACTTGTCCAAAAAACTACTTGAGTAAGAGTAAAAGAGTAGCCTATTTAAAAGTAATTATAAGCAATTTATACTTTTTTCAAACATTGTACCATTCTGTAATTCACATTATCTTGTTTGTCATAAAGAATGAAGAATATCTATCATCCAGCAGTTTTAATTTTGACTGCCAACTCTTTAAAATACATCAAAACAGCACGGAAACAGTATTCAGTCGAAGAAAAGATAAAAGTTATTCTCAGTACAATCATCCCCATTTAAATCATAAAGTTTAACTATGATTATGTTTAGTCACTACACTGAGCTATTTCATAGTTTTAGATACTAATTTAGCATCTGCCCAGAAGGCAATTCCAGAATGTGTTGTGATGAGTGGGGGAAAAACAACATAAAAATATAATTATACCTAATAAAAGGACATAAAGCCATCAGTTAAACACAAAACATCACAAAATCCCTCTCTGTTTCCATCAACAATTATATTTTCATTATGACAATCTTAAAAATATGATCATGTTTTAGCAGCTACTACCCTTATTTTCATTAGCTTCCTTCCCACTTGCTCATAAGCCACTTAACATGGGTTCATGTGTTGAGCGCTGTGTTTGCGCACACTATATAAAAAAGGAAGAGTATACTTTGGGCTTTAGGAGAACCTGTTGACAATAGTCAGTAATTAGCTTAGCAGCATGCTAACATTAGTCTTAATTGGAATCAATTGTACACCAGCTCTTCCATGCATCACGTGTCGAGCGCTATTTGTGTAGCATATAAAGTTGGTGCTTGTATAGAGATTTCCAAATCAGTCACTGTAGACTCTGTTATAGTTAAGATTCTGCCTTCAGGATGAAGTACACTACAATACCTGCACAGATTTGAAAATGTTAGGCATCATATACCGTACTTGTCGACTTGGTTACAGAGAAAAAATGGGAATCATACACTAAACTTCATCTCAGCCTCAGACGTCCCGCCCACGGACCATTGGCTGAAAGTCTGATGCGTATAGGACGCAAAATTGGAAACGCTTCCTGAGTTTCAAAGTCGTCTTCGGATTGGTTGAATTATACCGGGTTTCCGGGAGACGTGTGTGTCGCGTTCTTTAACGTTCTGTCTGGAAACAAATATGCTGTGATGCCGAACCCCCTCATGGAAGAAGAAAGCCATCGTGTTTCCAGCTGTGACAATGAGCGCTCATCAGGATCAACTAAACGCTGGATTTTCAAAAGTGTGTGAAATATGTCAAGTTTGCGGCATAGACTCTTTAAAATATGTCCAAGAGTTTAACACAACGGTCTGTTATTGTGGGGACATTTCCACGCCCCTAAACATGACGCGGCACAATTGGTTGCTTTACCTGTCAGTCATATGCCCTCTTGGGCGGTCCTTGGCCATTCAAAGTGCCATGGTTCCCAGACCTTCTGCCGTCAGTCTGAAGGTCTGGCAACACAAGACTAGAATAAACCTTACACTAGGCTTTCAAGTTGTTCCCGAACACAACAACACAACTTAAACAGAAACATGCACTCTGTTGCTAGAAGATACATGACAAATAAAAACAATGTGTTCTCAAATATTCTTAAAATATCAAAAACGTTTGATGTCCTCCAGCTGGATGGAATCAAAGTCTGTAGAACTCATGATTTTCTGTGAAATATGACAACTCCGATGGCCTAAAGTATGTAGACTGGCTCTGACTTTGGGCACCTAGTGTTGACTCCTCCGGACTGTGAGTCAGGGCAAAAATCTAGGCAAAAGTTCTGTAGTGTATTCCAGCATTTAGAAGATAAAGGAGCTCATTAGGTTTTGAAACCGAGCTGTTGTGTTCAGTGACTTAAACCGTTCTATTTCTCCTTCCTCTTTCAGCACTCAGGCCGTGAGGATCACAGACGATCGCTTCCGTCACCCAGAGTGCTACACCTGTACAGAATGCGGGCTCAACCTAAAGATGCGTGGCCACTTCTGGGTGGAGGACAAAATGTACTGTGAGAAACACGCCAGAGAAAGATACCAGGGTCCCGGCAATAACTATCGTCCAATCGTGTCCCCACACCACTGAGATGCCCGGTCCACCGCCCTCCTGATGCCACCTCCAACTCCTCTGGTTGGCTGCGAGCATAGAGAGGAGAAGATGGTGATGTCATTGCTACGTTGTCCAATGGGAGCCAAATTGAGCGTTTGGCATAATGTCACTTGAAGCTTTGGGACCCAGCGCAGTTGTGTTCTCTCTTCCTGTTATTATACATCCCTCAAATAGAGACTGTAAGCTTTGATCTATTGGATTTGGAAGGGGGCATCTGTGTTAGTGCTATTTCTAAGTCAGCATATTACAGTTGAATTTCTACATTTGCCAGCCAGTTACACATGTTGTATTATGCTTTGGAAACAGCTTGTTTTTCAATAGACATATAACTTGGGTTTATCTTTAATAGATTTTGAATTTTGAAATTTGTAGAGCTTTTCCATATACCGAGACTCAAATGGTGAGATGCATCAAGTGGGCATCATCAGCGCTAATGCACACAGGACTGGTTTCCTTAGTGTATTTGTGTGTGAATAGTTGCAAACAGCTTCATTAATTTCAGTTTGCACTTGTTAATAAAGGGTTTAATGATTACTTGGAAGTGATTCTTAGTTTGATATATATTTCTCCCTTCATAAAAAAGAAACTATTATCCACAAGTCCTCCATCCACACAGAAGCATGCATTTAGACCTCTGCATAGTTTATTTGAAATTTCTTTGTATTAAATAAGGGATATCTAAGAAATTATGATATTTTTGTGTAAATATGTTTATTTTTCACCTTAAACTGTATGTGGACTAAGCGGAGGGTTTTGCACGCACTTGTTTGTGTTCAGGGTTGCATGTTTCATTTTGATTGTGTATTTTCGGGTGAGAGATGTTCGATCACGCTCAGATACACTACAAGAAAAAGGATTATCAGAGTGAAAAAAATTGAAAACATTTGTGGATTAACTACGTCACATGAATCGTGAATCCTCACATTGTGTTTGTAGGGCTGCCTCTCTTTACCTTTTCCGTTTCAAATAAAAACTTTCTGATTATCAGTGGATATTTGAATGAATTGTGTTTTGTCTGTTTAGCTGTATTAGGCTATTCTGGTTACGTCCCATATTAATTTGCCATTTTTTTCGATTCTTACCAAAGGAGCTTATATTTAAGTTGAACTCTGATATTTTTCTCATTAAAAAGAGTGACACCTCAAGAGTTTTGAGGTGCTTTCTGTCATTAATTTCCTCACCCTGAAGCTCTTTGTTCTATTGAACACAAAAAGATGTTATGAAGAATCTGGGTAACCAGATAGTTGATGGTAACCAATGACTTCCATAGTATTTTTTCAAAAAATTTTTCCCAGAAGAAATTTGGGGTGAGTAAATGACAGAATTTTCATTTTTGGATGAACTATCCCTTTGCAGTTCACTCCATATATGGGAAACCAGAAGCTGAGAGCATGGTAGATGAACTTTGCGAAGATACGACATGTTAAAAACAAATTTTTACCTGTCGACAACTGTGTACATAGCCAAATGATCTAAAAGGAATAGGAATAGAGGAGGATTTTTTTTTAAAACGACTACACAGTGATGCGCACTTTTGAAACACAGCTTCGTGAAGCTTTGAAAACTATCAATCATTTGTTTCGAAGCAGTGATTCAAAGTGCATACACAGTCACATGATTTCAATAAACGAGGCTTAGTCACACCATAGCTGTTTTGGAATTCCAATGTTTGCCCCCATATAGCATACATGAATCACCTCGTAGCAGATCTATACAGGTGGAGCTGGGTAAGGTGGAGGATTTCTGAAGCAAGCTGCAACTGCTACAGCAATCACTAGTCATATATTTGAAAGTTGGGCAGCGAGCTCATTGGCTACCGATACAGAAGAGAACCAATCAGCTGTGCCATGTGATAATGATGTTATTAGGTCAGATTGAGTTCAACCTATCAGACTGCGCCATCTAGAGTTTCATGCCAGAACTCTGTATTTGTTAAAAAAAAGGCTTTCCATTGATGTATGGTTTGTTAGGATAGGACAATATTTGGCCGAAATACAACTATTTGAAAATCGGGAATCCGAGGGTGCCAAAAAATCAAAATATTGAGAAAATCGCCTTTAAAGTTGTCCAAATGAAGTTTTTAGCAATGCATATTACTAATCAAAAATTAAGTTTGAATATATTTACAGTAGAAAATTTTCAAAATATCTCCATGCAACATAATCTTTACTTAATATCCTAATGATTTTTGGCATAAAAGAAAAAGCAATAATTTTGACCCATACAATGTATTTTTGGCTTTTGCTAGTACAGGTGCATCTCAATCAATTAGAATGTCATGGAAAAGTTCATTTATGTCAGTAATTCATCTCAAATTGTGAAACTCGTGTATTAAATAAATTCAATGCACACAGACTGAAGTAGTTTAAGTCTTTGGTTCCTTTAATTGTGATGATTTTGAGGGTCACAAATATATTTCCTTCTGAATTGCTAAGTAAAACGGGCTGTTTCAAACATTGAAACTTTTTAGGATTAAAAAGTTGAGTGGAGAAGGGAAAACGAATAAAGAAGTGCAGCGATTATAGGATGCTCAGCTAGAATGCTTTAAAATTACAACAAAAATTGAAACATGAAAGAAAATAAGCAGCTACTGTTAAAGCGTATGAAAGAATAGTCAGAATGGCAAAGTTTCAGCCAATCATCACCTCCAGAAAGATCAAAGATGATCTAAAATTACCTGTAAGTGTACAGTCAGAAGATGTTTGATTGAAGCTATCAGCAAGAAGACTCTGTAAAGCACCATTGTTTAAAAAACCGCAGAATCAATTAAAATTAGCAAAGAAACACTGATCAGCCCAAAGAGAAATGGAGTAAAGGGATTGAGGTAATGGAGTGGCCAACTCAATTCCTTTACCCCAACTCCATTGAAAACTTGTGGGATGACATTAAAAACGTAGTTTCTGAAGAAAAACCCAAAAATTCACAGGAACTGTGGAAGTTTGTTCGTCCTGAGCTGAAGTAGGCCTACCTGTTTCTGGCTGTCAGAAGTTGGTTGACTCAATGCAATGTAGATGCACAGCAGTTATCAAAACAATGGTTATGCAACTAAATCTTAGTTCAGTAATTTAAATTGAAGTTAAATCTTTAAAAAAAAAATCCATCAGTTTTTGAGTTTGAAGAGAAAATGTCAACACAGTTTTTTTGAACAGATTAATATTCCTTACTTCCTGTCAAAAAATAATGCAGATTTGATAACATTTGTTAATGCTTTGATTTTGAATTGCATGTGTAATATTTCCACTACATTTTAAATATGGAAATAAAAGTTTTAGTTTTTTTTAAAGAGCACTTTATTCACTTTTATTAGCACACTGCTATTTGTTTTAACACGACTGCATGTGAACCTTTTTTTTTTTACCTGATCAACTTTATACATTTTGTAGACATTTTAATGGCACTTTTGTGTAATATAAAGGAATATTTGTGAGAGCTAAGTTGTAGCTCTCCATAAAACAAGCCATAAAAATTTATAAAATAACATATTATACAGGCATTTCATATTTAATGTTGTCAGATGATTTGTTAACTGCTTTTAGTAGTAGTAGTAGTAACTTTATTTATCCCCTTGGGGAAATTTTGTTTCAGTGTCTTGTTTCAATATGCGGTTCTCACAAACGACAATACAACATAAATTTCACAATAAAAACAATACAATTTAACATCAATTAATCAAGAAGTGCTAATTACTGAATGAGACCTGCTCATTATAAAAAATAAAAAAAAATCTTTCCTATCTTTCATTTAAGCACTTCACTGCCTGTGTTATAAAAGATTTTTTCCCTCTATTTTTAAGAAACACCGGTATCCTGAATCTTCTACCCGAAGGCAAGAGCTCAAACTCATTATACAGTGGGTGCCTATCATCAGATATAATTTTCATAGCTTTACCAAGACATCTAGTCTGATAAATTTGTTGTAAACCCATCACAGGGATACCAAGTAATTTACTTGCAGTACTTATAATTTTCCTGAACATACTTTTTTGTTCCACCGTAGCATTCCCAAACCAGCAAATAATAAGTCAGTACACTTTCAATAAAAGAGTTATAAAACACCTTTAACAATGGAGGGCTTACACTAAAAGACACCATCTTCCTAAGGAAATATAGTCTTTGCTGGCCCTTTTTGTTCACAGCGTCAGTCCATTTATCCCACCTCAGTTTGTGATCTAAAACAACTCCAAGGTATTTATACTCTTCTACCCTCTGAATCTGGTCCCCTTTAATAATGGTCGCACTCGTTGAGGACTCTTTCCTAAAATCAATACACATTTCTTTAGTTTTTGAAACATTTAACTTGAGATTTGATACATCACACCAA